CTGTATCTGTATTCCCACAAATCATTTTTTACTCATTAGTTATACAGAGAGTAAAGCTCAAGAGTTCAATACGAAAAAGTGCTTCCCGAGCAGATCTCTTCCCAATTTACCAGTACATGACATGGCTGATCCAAGGGCCCAGAACTTTTATAGGAACAATCAGCGTATGTCGGCGAGCCACAGATATGAAGCCAGCTGTCCATCGGTCCAACATGAAGGTGATTGCCTAGTTCGAAAGCCACGTGCTCACGTTCAATCGTCCACCTGGACCCTTAAACAAATACTTTCTCTTGACGAATTTCAACGGCCCCTCTCCTCCTTTTACAAAGCAGCAGAGAAATTGAGACTTCTACTACTACGTCGTCTACGCCATGTGAGACACGTCTCGGTCACAGAGCTTTCTATTTTCCCGGATTCTCTCTCTCTCTCTCTCTCTCTCTCTCTGTGAGATTTGGCCATAATTAAATTAGCGTTTCTATTGCATCCCCCGAAGCTTCACAGCTCTCTCTCAACTCTCCTCTCCTCTCCTCTCTGTATTATTGTGCCCAGTAAGTGTCATTGTCTTAGCAATTTTATATTCATGCATGCTCTGTTTTTCTAGTCTTCCACTCTCTCACTTCTTTCTTGTAAAATGCATATGCATGCTCTTTTCTTTTTTTTTCCTAATCCATGTCAAATTAGACTTTTTTTGTTGTAAAATGCCTCAACTATGCCCATTTGTAGCTCTTATTCTTTTCACCATTCTGTGTCTTTGATGGGACTTAAACACAGACTTGGATGGGTGGTTTGTTGTGTGTAGGATGCTATTGTTATGTTTGAATTTGAAACCAATAAAACCCACAAAACAAAATGGGGTGCGCTTCTTCTGTTTATGCTGTTGGAGGGAGGAAGAAGTTGACTATCCCCGAAGTCGTCGTCCTCGTCCCATCAACTCGAATTCCTGCACAATCTGATCTTCAAAGGCGGCTTAGAGGCCTAATCCCAATAGATCTTGCTCAGAGATTGTCTTCCCTTCGCAATCAGATTGTCTTAGTGGCAGAGGACACTGGTCAGCGCTCCCTTCCACTCATCATTCTTTGTCTTCTGTTTGTTTGGTTGCTGGGAAAATGTACCAAAGCAAGTTAGTGCTATTAGGATATTGGGACTTGCACACAAGTATTTGGAACTTATAGTTCAAATGTTGACTTGACTCTCTCCCTCTGTTTTTTCAGCAACCAAAAGGCTTTTTTCTTTTCTTTTTCGAGTTTCTTCTTCTAAACTGGAGTTGTTTGTTTGTATAGGTGGATCCGCTATTCCTGAACTGAAGAGAGCACTGGAGGAGTACTTGTCTGTTTTAATTGGGCTCACTAAGAAAGGTTTGAAAGAAACTCAACTCTCTCTCTCTCTCTTTCTCTCTCTCCCCCACGCAATTAAAAACAAAATGCTAATTTGCGTATGTAACAGAATATGGTCTAGAGGGATCGGTTGAATTCAAGTGGAAAAGCTTAGAGGATGGCAAGCAGGTACGACCATCAGAAACGAGCTTAGATTTGGTAACTATGGGATAACCTTTGATTATTCATTGCCAATTTGTCATGCAATTAATTGTTGTGATGGAAATATGATAAGCAGGAAGCCTGTGTGGCAAATTCCTGGTTTGAAGTCCTGTCTGTTGTTCACCTCATGGCTGTGCTTACATTGTCGGAGGCTGACATATTGATGATCCCACACGACCATTCTGGTTCCGGTATAAGGACGGTCTCTTCAGGTTTGTATTTTTGTCCTTAACCCTTTATTATATATGTTCATGCTTTTTTGAATTATAGGTTTTACAGCCAAATCATTATGGCTTCTCATAAGTAATTGTTCATTATAATCTTTTCTTTCAGATTGCAAAAGAGTTGCTGTCGACTTGATGCTTAAGGCATCAGGCTACTTGGAATTCTGTGTCCGGAATGTACTGATTCGCATACCACCTGAAATCAAGTATGTTGAGAGTTAAAGTAAATTTGGGAATTTGGTGTCAAGATTTTACACTAAAACATCAAATTTTCTGAACGCAGGAAAAAGTTGCCAAACAATTTGCATGATGGTGTATTGGAGGCCATTTCCTTTCAATCTCTGGGCCAGGTACTTCACTTAAGAATCATCAACACTTGTTGACCTTGACATGGACTACAGAAACATGAAATAGACTAGTTTTCTCAAAATCTGGATTACATTGCTCTGTTATGACTGCATTCACTGTTTTTTTCTTTTCATTTTTTGATTTATTTTACCGACTGCTTGAGTTTGAGATATATATTACAGATACTGTTCTTGATGACTAATTCAGGGAACAGAAATTCAGCTTGGTTTGGCTGTTGACTGTCAGAAGGCCACTTTATCAGTCAAAAGAAGATTGGCATGTGAACAATTGACCTATTTTAGCCAGGTCTGTATACATGCTCTACAGATCTTTCATGGGTTAAATTTTCAACTAGTTGTCCAACTCTTAAAATGATTATTATTATTAATTATAGTTTACAGCTTATGCCTCGTTTGAAATTTATGTAATTAGTTATTTCCTTTTAGAAAGACGTTTGGCCTCCACAACTATATCCTGAGTTTACTACAAATTGTGCGTTTCTCCTGCTTTTTGAGATCAGGCTTATCACTGCTTGTCAGGATGTGACATCAATAACGGGTGTGGGAAGAAGCAAATGTGGTTCATCAAATGGAAATTTCTTGAGTCAAAGGTTTTTAAGCAATTGATTTATCTCCATCCAACTATGTAATTGTTCCCATTTCTGCATACAGTCTGTGTAGATGTGATATGTACCTTTGTATTACCAGGCTGCAGCATACTACTACCATGGTCTGATCCTTGACAAGGGTAATGAGCCATCCTGCCACGTTAGCGCTGTATGTTGTTTTCTTGCCGCGGAAGAAATTCTATCAGAGAGCAAGAAAGCTTGCTTAACCTTTTGCCTTGCAGCTCCAGTTACCAGGTTGATACTCACTGTTCATATCTATCATATGTGTAGAGCGTGAAAATCTTCTTCCT